TTTGCTTTTTATTCTGCTCCACTCTTATTTTTTCCATTTTATTTCTTTTTGCTCTTATCTCTCGTGCACCCACCAAGCCAGAAGACTAGTAATTATAAACGCTTCTTAATAAAACTAAGTAGATTTTTCTTCTTCAACACAGATGGTTGGAAGACAACAGCTTCACTGAACTGCCTCCCGAATTATTTCAAGATCTAAAAAGCCTGGAAATACTGTAAGTTACATGTAAACGCTCTCCTCAGAAATTAGCTTTGTAACTGCGCTAAAGGTATTATTATTAGCTTTTCATGTCGTCTCCTCTCTAAAACAAGACTGCTCTTGTGATTATATTGATAACGCTGGTAACTATATTACTGCGTCTCTAATCATACGAGATTAGACAAAATATTTCCGTTTTCAAATTTTCTGATATCACCTTCAGAACGAAAAACGGAAATAAACCAGTTGAACCTTATAAAACTGTTTCGTCATTATTGTTCTGATAATCAGAGTAGAGGGTTTTGGTCATACAGCAACGAAATCAAAGTGTGCCATGAAGTGTCTGGTCATTATATCATTATCTGTTGTGAACTAGGTAGGTGTCGCGATGACTTCTTTAATGAATCATTTACCAGGAGACGCACTTTCTTATCTCATCATTCCTATTAGCTATCTGTCAAATAACAAATTGAAGACTCTACCAGATGGAATTTTTAACAGCCTTTCCAACCTGACACATCTGTGAGTACAATAATCGCTACACAAAAAAAGTGCGAAAAGAGGTCAATGGAATTTCCCGAGAGCACATTTCTCAAAGCTGCGCGCCATATTCAGTCAACAGAAACAATTAAGGTAAAATTGAACGGTTTGACACGTGTGCATGAATCGAAATTTGCGAGCATTGATGTTTCGTTACAGAAACAGCACAGTTTTGGTGATAAAAATGAATAAGTTGCTCGATGAATCAAAGTCCATGGTTCACTTTTGTCTCCGTGTCATGAAAATTTTACGGTCAATTTTTGTAAAACTGATTAGATGAATTTTAGAATGCTACATTATGTAAACGTGCTTTGATGAATAAAGTTGACGTACTTGGAGGTTTGAAAATTACTAGTAAAAAACCTGCTTGTAGCATAGCATGATAAACCATTTAACTAAGGCTGCAACAATAATAATAATTACAATCTCATTAAAAAAACAATGATAATAAAACTATTTTGTTTAATTCATGTTGATAATTTTCACGTTGGATATTATTCACTTGCTGCACGCGAGGTAGCAACATCATTATACTTTCTGCGTTTTTGTAGTCTTCTTTTTTCATCACTGTTAGAGTCTTTACAAAATCTCTTAGAGCAAATTTTAATCAATTTTCCTATTTTGCGTGAAAAAAGCTTTCTGCATGACATTTTTCCCGCGAGATGTTTACGGATTATCTTAAGTTCTTGTCGGTCCGCACTACATCATATTTTAACCGTGTGATAACCGGCGCTTTTTTGCTGGATTTAATTATTTATTAACGACCTCCCAGATGCAGCCATAGGTGATGTTTTCACTTCCTTTTATGCTGACGATACCAAAATATATCGCAACATCAATACCATCGATGACTGCATGTCTATGCTGAAAACCTTGACCAACATGCACACGTGGACTCGGCACAACAATATCCGGTTCAATGCTTTTAAATGCAAGGTGCTAACCATCACTCGAAAAAAAGAGCCCGTTAGACTTCATTTACAAGCTTGATAATTTAGAGCTCGAGCGTGTGTCCACGGAGAAAGACGTTGGAGTTAACATCACCAACTCTCTCACCTGGAACACACATATCCATGCCATTACTGCTAAGGCCAACAAGTTACTTGGACTTTTAAAACACACGTGCCCATTATTAAACGATGTCTCTGCTAAACGCTCACTTTATCTTGCACTTGTGAAGTCTCAGTTATCCTACGCGACCCAAGTCTGGTCCCCGGACAAGATTGCATTAAAAACTCAAATTGAAAGGGTTCAAAGGAGGGCCACAAGGTGGATCCTCAAACAACGTGTAGGCGTGATGTCATACAGAGACAGACTTTTAACTCTGAAACTTCTTCCCCTGACATTTGACCGCGAACTCAAAGATCTTGTTTTTTTTTACAAATGTCGGAGTGGCTTTACTGATCTTAATGTTTATGATTTTGTTTCTCCTGTTTCTCACGGCCGAACCAGACTAAGTAATTCTTATAACCTTAAAACTCCTGTATGTAAAACTAGCACTTTTCAGGCCTCTTACTTTAATCGTATTGTTAAGCTCTGGAACTATATATCTGTAAATTTTCACTCCCTACCAGTTTTTCAACTACTGCTTCCTTCCGCAACTTTTTTACTGAGTACATGTTTCACCTTTTGTACAATCAATTTGACATATCCTATCCCTGTACCTGGTCAATTATACGATCCTACCCCTGCCATCCCTAGTTTGGCGTCTTTTGGTTGATCATGTTTTAATTATTATTTGTACCATGGGAGGTGCCTCGCATGGGTCCTCGCGTCCCGTTCGCACCTTCCCTTTTGACCTTATCACTTTAAATCACTTTGCACATATATTTCATTTTTTTTCTTGGCTGTTTAATTTGCTGTATGTAACATGTGTAATGGTCAATAAAGCTGTTAAAAAAAAAAAAAAGATCAACCATCTATATTGTTCCTTTTTGCAAAGGAAGTTAAAACAAATACATTCAACTAGGAAAGTACTGCAGAGGGAGACAATATTTTATTGGCAACTGTTCTTCAAAAGCCGCCAATAATTTCATGATTATAGATTTGTAACTTTGGTTACCATTGTGTTTAAGGGATTTGTCAAATAATGAACTTGGAAACCTACCGCCATACATATTTAAGAACATTACAGCTGTGAAATTTCTGTAAGTGAGATTTTCTTTGAGTTAAGAGAAATTAAAAACTATCTTTAAGAATTACTTTGCAATAACAACAAGAAGTGAGTAAATCAGCTTCTTAGTTCATGAAAATTTACATTTCTTTTTTTTTTATTCTAGGCAGCCAAAACTGTTTTGTCTTGTAGTTATTTTTTGTAACAGAAGCGTAGAGTTTGTTGACTTAAATACTAAAGCAACCCAAATAGTTTTGTAAAAATGGTCAATAGACTACTTACGACTTTCAAATTTAGACTCAGCTTTAAACAACAGACCAACAACAGAGGTTACTAGTAATAAAATCCAAATTTTCTCTGATCTGAGAGAATTAAGAATACATGTTGATCTCAGGTTTTTTTTTCCGTTGTTTTTTTATTCTGTTTAATGTTTAAATATAAAAACCGAGAGCTAGTTCACCGTTGGTAATTTTCCTGCAGTAAATTAAGCAGACAACAGTAGATTTAGGGATATCACTTCAAAGCTACATATTTGTATTTCAGGCTAACATTTTCATGACACTTTCTTCAGGAAAATGGACTACAACAAAATTGAGAGGCTTCATGAAGATCAGTTCCAGGGCTTAGAGGAGTTGTTCGATTTGTAAGTACATTTAGATTTAAGACGTTAATTCTTCACTGTGATCTGTCGCAATCTAAAACATATTTAAGAACCAGCTAATTCATCTGCTTTATAAAAACAAACTAACTCAGTGAATAAACATTGACATGTAACGGTCTACAAATTAACCACATTTATGTCGAGAGGTAATACCAAAAGAAGTGCATGATAATTGTGTATTGGCAAGGTTTTTTTTAACGTTTTAGCGATAAGCGGCTTAAATGCAATGATGAGATGTCTGTTTATATTCGCACTCGCATTAGATGGGTAAACTCGATTTCTATAACTTCAATCTTTAGAGCCGAAATGATAAAGCAAACTTGAAAGGATAACAGCTATTTGTAATAAAGAAAAAAATGGCTTTAATTTAGCTGAGACAAAGATACTGGCTATAAATACTGCAAGGGTTTGGATTACAACGGCCGTGCGATTAATCTTCTAAGGGATTTAACCTGGTATCCTGAGTTCTAACATGGCCTTTGAATATACTTCGATGATGGTAGCACAGATATTAGTTAGAATATAAAATCAGGAGTCATAATAGGGAACACCCCTTTAGCAAATATGGTTAGTATCTTCTGTAAGTATTAGCTTCTATAAAAAATGAATCACGGTATTTTTCATCAGATCTATATAATTTTGATATCGGTTCGGTTTTTTAAGTTAGATGTGCCATGCCTAGTTATGCCATGTTACTCGTGTATTAGTTTAAAATTATCTTTACCTGTATAAGATACCTCTCGGAGAACAGAATCGAGGCTTTGCCTGACAAGATTTTCAAGGGCGTCAAGAACCTCAAGGCTCTGTGAGTACCACTGATTACACACAAAAAATTCTCTAGAATTTTTTAGAAGATGAAAATGTACGTAACAGAAAGATTCAAAGTATGGAAGTCTTATTTGAAAATATTCACGTGATCTCCAACAGGCGTGGTGTAAATTGTAATGCTCAACAATGTAATTTTATTACTTTCTATTTTCTTGACGAAAGAAAGGGGCCCTGTTATAAACATGTTATTATGCAAAAGTGGATATTATCAAAAAAACAAACAAACACAGTTGAGAACTATGAGAATTCCGACGGCAACTTCAGGTTAAATTTTTAAGAATCAGACAATGCAGGTCCCTGTTTACCATCTGCTCATTAATAGTTATGTTCTTAACTTTTACAGAAATATCTTCGGCAATAAGATACAAAATGTCACCAGCACGACTTTCAGTCATGCCCAGGAACTGCGATTTTTGTAAGTTCACCGTAAATGGCAATTATTTTTCATGGTACTTACAATAAAGCCGCATGTATTGCAATCGAATAAGACCCAGCGTGAAGTTAATTTAGAGTATTAAAGTTGGTATTCTTTTAAATTTGCCGCAGTCAAAAGAAAGGCTTGTAGCTAGTTATTTGGGAAAATGAGATATTCAATTTATTATATGCTAATTAAATTTTCACCTTCTATTTTAAACTTCCAGATTCTTGCATTACAACCTGATGGCTGAGCTCCCCAAAGACTTTTTTGGGCTTTTGCCGCACGTTATCAGAGTGTAATACTCCATTATAATAATTTAACTCAATGGTTTTAATAGGAGATTTGGGGCGAGTGTTGTCTGAGTTGCCTTTAAAGTAGAAATCTTTGTCAAATTGTGATATGGGTGATGCAACCATTTTAATAATTTTGTTTCCTTCAGTCTGTTTGGTTCAGTTGATCAAAAAATTTTCATTCATGTCAACATCTTCTATCTATTCCAATACTGAAATGATATGAAGCCACATTTAGTTATTGTATAAAATTGCCAATGGCATGCTTCGTGAGACTTTTTAATTGCTATTAATTTATGAAAAAATACTTACCAATCATCTTTGCCTCAGCATAGATCCCTTATTTGCCGATTGTTTTCGATAATCTTTATTATTTTGCTCTCATTGTTCTAACGATGAACCCTTTCTAATTCCCTCTTCTTTTTCTAATTCCAGAACTCTGGACACCAACCTGATGTGCTGCCACCTTGATCTTTTCAGGCAGGATGCCGATTGCGAATTTGCCTTCAATGATAACTTCGCAAGCTGTCACTCCATGTTCCGCAACCTTGCTCCAAGGAGAAGTCTTTGGGTTGTCGGCCTTCTTTCGTTGTTTGGGTCTGTGTTTGTAGTTGGGTGGCAGTATTTCTTCCCTGATAACAATATGATCCAGTCCACTATGTTGGTAAATCTGGGTATTTCAGACGGCATCATGGGTATTTACCTCATCATTATAGGTATAAAAGACCTGCAATGGTCAGGGGAATACTACCTGCACGACTATGAGTGGCGCACCGGTTGGTTTTGCCATTTCAATGGCGCCATGTCTGTCCTTTCAAGCGAGGTGTCTGTTATGATGATTTCTCTGATTGCATGGGACAGGCTCAAGAACATTGTGTTTCCTTACACGTTTGCGAAAATTACACCAAGGCAGACCCGTATTATGTGTGTAGTTATCTGGCTTGTGGGAGGCACCATGGCATTCCTTCCGTTGTCTGGAATGCGATATTTTGGTGACTGGTATTATGGCAAGAACGTGGTGTGCCTGCCCCTGCAACTTTCCCCGCAATTACAAGAAGGCTGGGAATTCTCCACTTCCATCTTTATCGTTTTAAATTTTTCTCTTTTCCTATTTATTACGGTTGCTTATGTTGCCATCTTGTTGAAATCATGGTCGTCAAGCAGACGGCTGGGTGCGCATGGAACTGTTCGTGAAATACGAGCAAGAGCACAAAGCGCACAGGCCAAAAGAGAAAGAGCACTTGCCAAAAGAGTCTTCTTCATTATTCTGACCGATTTCTTGTGTTGGATACCAATCATTGCTATCGGCATCAAGTCGCACGTCGAGAAAACGTTTGATCCACCTGGTGATCTGGCTGTGTGGATTGCAGTGTTCGCCTTGCCGATCAATTCAGCTATCAACCCACTGCTGTATACCCTTTCTACTCCACAGGTACCATTTTTCTCTTGCTTTTGAATGGAACATTCTTTCATTTGTTGTTTTAAGAGACATCTTTGCGAGATAATTATCTGAATCAAACACCCGTGGTCCCAACGGTTTTTTTTTAATTAGAAATTTTCCTATTGTCAATCAAAGACGGTCTCTCTCATGTCCTTATGACAGAAAAAAAAATAACCCAAGAGGAGAAAAAATGGGCATGGAAAAGATATGAATGATCGCAAAGT